CACGGTGGCTAACATTATGTTATTAATAGATACTCACTGTGGTCCAAGGTGGCTAACATTATGTTATTAATAGATACTCACTGTGGTCCAAGGTGGCTAACATTATCTTATTCTAGTCACCTTCATCCTTTATTCTTTATTAGGTGTTATTTTCTGCCTCGGGGAAAATAACATTCTGTATCTTAAAGCTGGGTTGAACTAGTAAGAAATGGAATATCCCTTGCTGGCTAAACTTCGATGTCAGTTAGATTTGATAGCTGGCCAATCAGAGACGTTGATAGGCACTTGCACACGGAGCTCATACCCAATTCTATTTTACAGTGCCCCGAATCCCCAGTTAGTGTCTTGAAAAATCAGAATAGAAAACCATGATCGATATCACTGAAACGCCGAAAATTTCTGCGCCTATGGACCCGAGTCCCGATTCTTTTTAAGCACCTAGGGACGCTTCTGTGGTTAATGCTCTCAGAGAAAAAGGTTACGGGGTGACGCCGATTGTTGGACAAAGTAATGCTCGAAAAACAGGTACACTTTCTTTATCCAGCTCTCTCCGAAAGCTCTTCCAGTGAAGACCTGTCTTCCTGTTCAGGATAGCGATATTCCAACTTAAGAGTAAAAAGATTACAACGATGAACACTAGTTAGGAATAAAGTAGTATATATTGTAATCTACGAGTTTTATTTTTTGTTTAAATAAAGATTCTGATTTTTTACTTAAAACATGCCCAGCCTATTTATTTACACGTCTAAAAGAACACTCAGTTAAAGTATCACAAACACAAGAACTCTCGTAATGTCTCGTGGGTGAACTACAGTTACCACACCCGCACTTTACGGTCAAATAGTGACGGTCAAATCTCACTATTCGATTATGGTAGTCTAAAGGTCGATAATTCATGGGTGCTATTGACTAGCTGCCTTACGCCTAGTCTATCAGTTCAAAGTTAGGGACTGTTAGCGTAAATAGCTCTTGTGTAACTTTGCGAGGGTATCAGAAACAAACAAACTTCACAAAATACAGGAAGGTGTCTTTTTCGACTCTAGCCCATGGATTGACTTAGTGGTAGAGTTCTGGACTTCTACGCTGGAGAGTCCGAATAAATCCGTGAGGTGCAACAGAATAATCTCAGCACTTTAAAGTTTTAGGTGTGTTATGAGAGTAACAGTCAATCGTGGACAGTGGGTGGTAGGATGTTGCTGACTTATTCTCCTCCCTTGGTTCACAAATGTTGACGAGGATTGTGATTATGAATACGATTTCCAGGTTCATTCCAAGAATGCTAAGTCCAATTGAGATCCGATGATTTTGTTAGTCAATGAACCGATGATTGTACTAGTCAATGAACTAGTTACGCTTTTCGAAATAGTTTCAGACAGTACGAGTTTGAGATGTTATTGTATTATGAGCATGGAAAAACCCCTTCCCGTCAGAATTGTGAAGTGTACATGGTCAACAACATTCAGACATATCCTTGGTGCTATTTGCTCTTCTTAGAAATTGAAGCAGAGCGTTTCACTTGCCATAAAACCACTTGTACTACTAGATCAACTGAAGTAATGTGTCATGTCTCATCGGAGGGGAGTTCGCCATACTTTTGCTTTGATCTTAGTACAAAAAAACGGTAAAACGCAACTCACTTGTCTACATCACGCACTTTTGTCCTCATCAGAGTTAAGCGATCTACAGATATGTGTTTGTTTGTTTGTAGTTATGCACAAAGCTACGCAATGGGCTATCTGTGTTCTGCCCACCACGGGTATCAAAACCCGGTTTCTAGAGTTGTAAGTCCGCAGACTTACCGCTGTGCCACTGGGGGGGCACTGATATGTGAGTGTGGGTCATCCTAATATAGTGAACATTCAGTTTAAAAAAGATTATCAACAACTCTATAACCGAAAATCAATCGAAAAGAAAACGTTTTAAAAGGGAATTATCTTTATGATTTTCAATAATTTAGTTCTCTGTATTTATAGGTAAGCATAACTCGCAATTATTTTAATAAGGGATTAATTGAAGCTAGGTTAGGATTTGTATAATAAGAAGAAATACAAACTTAGAAATTACAAGTACCCAACATATTTCCACTCGTTTCGAAAATTAACTGATAACTGTGTACACTCGTGAATTCAAATAACTCCCAAACTATTAATCTTTCTGATGTAATATGATTGTTGTAAGCAAATCATTTCATGAAACTGTGTAAAACGATATATTTATTACATATACACACACGTTACGAGACGCTTTACGAGGGTTAGGTTATGTCTATAAAGATCAATACATGAGACTTGGACGTGTTCTTCTATGAAATATTTACTACTAAGTAATAACTATTAGAAAATACTAATAAAAATACGGTTTAGCTATAAAATAGGCAAATGTTTACAAAATTAGTTTATCACACTTCTAGTCTATACCTTAAAATTATGGTTTTAAACTTTTTTATCACACACACATATATATGTATAGAGCGTTTTTCTCTCTCCGTGTAAAGCTACGTAAGACGCGTACTGAAGATCACAATCTTTTCATGTGATAGATACTTGAAGATAGTGTAATTTGAATCTTGTTTTTGATTCGTTTCGAATAAGAAACGGTTCACTAAGTACCTTACCGAGCGTAGTTTATCAAGTGCTACATCTGAATCTGGTTATCAAGTGCTACTTCTGAATCTGGTTATCAAGTGCTACTTCTGAATATGATTATTAAGTGCTACTTCTGAGTCTGGTTATTAAGTGCTTCTTCTGATTCTGGTTATCAAGTGTTACTTCTGAATGTGATTATTAAGTGCTACTTGTGAGTCTAGTTATTAAGTGTTTCTTCTGAATCTGGTTATTAAGTGCTACTTCTGAATCTGGTTATTAAGTGTTACTTCTGAGTCTGGTTATTAAGTGCTACTTCTGAGTCTGATAGGGAAGCGCTACTTCTTCTGGTTGCTAATTTCTCTTTCTGAGTTTGGTTGCTAAGTGTTACACATATAAGTCTGATTACTAAGCGCTACTTCGTAGTCTGGTTGCTAATTTTTAAGTCTGGTTACAAAGTACTACACTAGAGTATGATCGTGAAATAATACTTCTAAATCTGGTTTACAGTGCTAGATGAGATTATAGGCACTAAACACAACTCCTGATTCTGGTGACCAAATGCTACTTCTTAGTCTGATTATTAAGTACTAATTTCAGTCTGGTTTATAGGTTATTTTATTACATTACATGGTTTTTACATTATTTATGAGTATAACAACTACAAAGGTGGTTTGTAGCGAAATATAAGAGACATTGTTCAAATGCTGCACTTGTTGGGAGTAGGAGTAAAAATAAAGGTTAATCGTAGTTCGGATATATTCAATGTAGAGATCGTACTGCAGTCTTCGTGATGGTTTACGTACAATATGTGTATAGATGTAATAAAAAAGAAACACTATACGATATTCGCAGCTTTCAATATTTGAAAAACACCTATGAGAAGTTCACTCGTCATTTTTTCAGCACGTTCCATGTGTCTACGATTTTCGGTTGAGATCGGTCACGACGCGGGTCAAGGCAGTCCCGAGTTTCGCAGTGCATGCTGCACTGTCCTCTGGCTTGGTTGGAAGGCAGCTGCACTGCAGAACTCCCGTTACTTCAAGCTCAGCACACGCTGCACACGGTCCACGCCCCGGTAGCTAGCTTATAGCAAACAGGGTCAAGAAGTCGACAAGATGAGCTATAGTGGACGGTCATCCAAGCTTTACAGTGGCCATTCTATAAACGTCCAGTGACCGTTCGTTTGAACTACTGATACCCTAGTTTTTAACTTACAATGAATTACAGTGGTACAGGGATAACCCCAGCTCCACCTAGGGGAGGGTTAAGGTCAGGAATGAGATCTCACAAGCAAAGTCAGCATGATAAAAAAGACGACAGTCCTTTGACTGACCAGTTCGTGGTAAGTTCCTTTAAGTTTGTGCAATGGGATGTTTCTATTTAATTTGAACTAGAAATATAATGCACTTTGAAGCATATGAGATTATTTACCGTAGAGGTAGGTTTGATATTAGTTAATTTTATTAACACAAGTTAATGAGTTAATTTTATCAACACATGTTAATCAGTTATTTAATTAACACAAGTTAATCAGTTAATTTTATTAACACAAGTTTATCAGTTATTTTATTAACACAAGTTATCAAATATATTAATGTTACTGGATATAAATATATATTACTGTATGTATGTATATATATATATATGTTTATTATCAGTTTAATATCAGTCATGCTGTTAGAGATTAGCTGGCTCTACAGAACGGTATGTCTTGTTTCAAATAATTGGACAACCAATAAAGGAAGGTCGTGAGTTTGACATCATAACAAATGATGCTACTTTGTGTTATGAGCCTCGACTGTGATAAACAAAAAATGCGGGATCGGTACTGTTTTACATCTTGTCTTCTTTATTATCTCGTATCTTTTCATTTTATTTGGTCTTGAAAACTGACTAGACTGTTTTAATTACCGAACATCTTAAAAAAATGCAGTTTTGAAACGAGTTCTTTTCCCTTAAAAAAGTTCGAGCTGAGCACTTAACTGTGCGAGATCTGGTGAGAAGAATATCGAACGATGTCATCCTTGTAAACTTTAAGACTAAATAATCTTCTAAAGCGGAACATCCCAATTTAGTCACAAAAATGTGTTCACTAATAGATTACAATAGTGATTTTTAATTTCAGTGGTTTAAAACATAAAAGACCAACATTAAATCACAGACCAAATCGTTTTCAGTGTTAAGCTCTAGTAGAAACATATGTAACTTTGATATCATATATATATGAATAAATGGTACTGTAATATAACACCCATTATGTGAATAGATTATACTGTAGTATAACATCTTGTATATAAATAGAGGGTATAATATTATGACATACTGTATATGAATGGAGGGTACTGTAGTATAACATACTGTGAAATAATAAAGTATACAGAGGTATGACATACTGTATATAAATAGATGGTACTGTAGTATGACATCCTCTATACAAATAGTTGGTTCCTAGCTACGGCTTTGACTGTGCTATCGAAAATCTCTGTAAAAACACATCGTTAAACACGTTTTTAGATACATATATATTTTTTTCAAATTTCATCATTAGACAAAACGTTTCGTTTCGTTAAATTAAGTGCCAGTAGGGTTGTCGGTTTGGTTTGAGAACCGCAATATTAGGTTTGTCCATTCTTTCTGTCGTTTGTAATTTTGTTCAGTCACCTTTTTTATATTTCAGTGGTTTGGTTTGTTTTGAATTTCGCGCAAAGCTACACGAGGGCTATCTGCGCTAGCCGTCCCTAATTTAGCAGTGTAAGACTAGAGGGAAGGCAGCTAGTCATCACCACCCACCGCCAACTCTTGGGCTACTCTTTTACCAACGAATAGTGGGATTGACCGTCACTATATAACGCCCCCACGGCTGAAAGGATGAGCATGTTTGGTGTGACGGGGATTCATATTTCAGTGTTGTCGCTTATGATGACAGTTGACAACATGACAAAAGTTCCCGGCAGTAATGTTGCAGTGAACAGAGCACATTTATCTTACTATGTAGCTTTGCACCAAAACAACCAAATTACCATCCCATTGTTTTGATTTGCACAAGACATTGATTGACGTTATACCAGCCAATGAGTAATTTCCTCTTTTAAGCTAGGACCAGTCAGGTTTGTATCTAGGATAGGATTCAGTTCATGATCCCCACTTAATTTGCGAATCCACCGAATCTGCTCAGTAACAATAAATTCGCAATGGTCTGGGAAAACTTCGAGAGGAAATTTGGTATTACTTTTTATATGGGAGAATTCACAGTGTGAAGACCCATAAGCTCTTCCACTTTCATTCCCTGTTTTACAATACAGTACATTCTTAGGGGTGTAGGAGGCAAATTAAAACTGGGAGGGCACACGATTTCTTTGACTAAGCGAAGGGAGGGAATGTGCCCCACAGGAGCATCCATTACGGCTGAGGTCAAGGGCTAGCCTTAGAGCCCTGGAAGCTCTTTGGTTCTGAATTAAATTTTATGCACTCTTCTACTTTTCCTGAGAGTAAGTTTCCTAATTTTGATGCATTCTTATTGGGACAGATTGAAAAGTGGGGGGGGGGGGAGTTCCCCGGCCTCCTAAGCCTCCCATTCTTCTGATATCATAATCCCGTTATATATCAGCCAATGAAACGAATCACTTCACCATCGCAATCATCACTAAAACAGTTAGGAACATGATAACCCAAGCTCCGAGACCAAATAGAAACCATCCTCACTGAAAAAGATACACAGAGGTTATGTGCTAATTTAACCGCTCTCTTTAATATAGCCTCCTAGTGGCACAGCGGCATGTCTGCGGACTTACAGCGCTAAAAACCGGGTTTCGATACCTGTGGTGAGCAGAGCACAGATAGCCCTTTGTGTAGCTTTGTGCTTAACTACAAACAAACAAACTCTTTAATAAATCGCTAAAATCAGGCTAGTTATTAGCTGCTGACCAATAAGCCATGCGAGTTTCATCGGGCAGAAACAATAACCACAAATAGATTAACGAATTTTTGTAACTTATTCAAAAACTACCAGAAGTAAGAAATGGGTTCAGAAAATTTAGTCAAACTTCCACTCACCTTATTAGGCTTAAAGAAACAATTACTCAAAACTTTAACAATTATAAATGTATAATAGCCTATTTTCTTGATAAAGTATGTCATAATGGTCTAACGTTCCAAACGTCACAAGTGGATTTCCCAAGGGTTACTCTCCGTTGACTTCACAACTTCTTAGACGAGAGGAAAGTGGAAGGCATTTACTCCGGGTATTTAGCCCCTGAGACAAGTGCCCCACATTTAGCCCTATTTTAATTGTCGTGTAATCATGTCAGTTATAAATAAAACTATCGTATTGCATCTCGATTCACGGACGACTTGGCTATTTGGAAGAACTGCTCACATAGAACTTTAGCTTTCAATAATCTTCAACCTAATTTAAAACAAATAGGAGAGTGGTGAACAAGTGGTGCATCAAAATAAATTCACACACACACACACAAAACAAAACAAAACACAGGTGTTTTTCTTCATCTAATCATGACAAATCAGTAAACATCCGCCAAAATTTCACCTATATAGAACCCTGCTCCAGATAGCCGGATAAGACTCATCAATACCATTAACATTAACATTTGGAGTAAACCAAATGAGTTAAAAAGTGTATCTTGCAATAGCAGAAGTACATCAGCAGCGAATGTTCTCAAAACGTCTAAAATTAATATCAGATCTATAACAGAGTACACTTGTCTAGTCTGGCGAACAAAAATCAGCATTATGTCCAGATTTCTGTCTACATATATAGATATCAATGAAGTTTATATATAATTATACAAACCTCCCTATTTTGCCTGATAATGTATCAAAAAATTTCAACAAAAAACATATTTTAAGTGATCAGAATGACTTCATTATTCATGGTTAAGTACCTCTCCTCTATCAGTATCTTTTCTAGTTATGTATCTAAGGCCAACTAATGCTAGGTAACATCAAGTTCAGAGTATTGTTTGCGTTGCTGTTGGTCTAAGTATCGAAACAAGTATAGGTGGAATTTTGATAAAAAGTGATGTTAGTAGCAATATAATCCATGGACGTGGTTACTAAGGGCTGTCTAGTTAAAAAATATGCCGACAGACTTTAGTAGTTTTTCACTCTTATTGCCCATTGGCAGCATGGTAGTATTCTTCAGTAGTCCTCAGCTTCCTCCCTACATCATGGTAAAGTTGCATCTGACCATTACAAGTCATCCATCAGTCTGTTAGACAGTACAGAAAGAGAAATTGGACTTGAAATCCGTCCAATCTCATTTTTAATTATTCCAGAAATACAAGTTTCACTAAATTAAATTGAGAAACTTCTGTAGTGTTAAGCTTTCTTTAACTTTCTAAAATCGTTTTAACGAGGAAAACTGCGGTTTGAGCTGAATAATTACCATATATGTTGAGTATATATGTATGTATGTTGTTGTTGTTTTATCATGTAACGGTCATGATACTTCAGAAGGTTTTATTTATTACTTTGCCTTTCAGCAAAATTCACCCTCAATGCCATAACGAGGTATGCTGTCAATGTCGTTTAGGTGGTCAAGTTACCCTGTTACATGTGCCGTCAATGTCGTTTAGGTGGTTTAGTTACTCTGTTACATGTGCCGTCAATGTCGTTTAGGTGGTCAAGTCACCCTGTTACATGTGCCGTCAATGTCGTTTAGGTGGTCAAATTACCCTGTTACATGAACCGTCAATGTCGTTTAGGTGGTTTAGTTATTCTGTTACGTGTGCCGTCAATGTCGTCTTGGTGGTTGAGTTATCCCGATACGGGTGTGCCATCAATGTCGTTTTGATGGTTGAGTTACCCTGTTACGTGTGCCGTCAATGTCGTTTAGGTGGTCTAGTTACCCTGTTACGTGTTCCGTCAATGTCGTTTAGATGGTTGAGTTACCCTCTTATGTGTGCTGTCAATGTCGCTCAGATGGTTGAGTTACCATGTAACGTAACGTGTGCCTTCAATATCGTTTAGGCTGTTAACATGTAACGCATTCTTCACTGAATTCTTTTGCGTGCAGTTTTTTTTTATCAAGAGCTTTAATTCATGGATAGTCTCGGGTTTCAAATGCTCGAAAAGCTTTCTATTAGATCTGATACAAAGATTATTAGTTTTATTATATGTTTCTTAAAACATAACATTTCTTTAGCTTCTTTTTAGAAAATCCGTTTCAGGAAACAGGGGATATAACGAAACGCTTGATTTTATACAGGAAAATGCCCTGTGTAATATATTTCGAGTTGGATAAAAGCAATTTATCTAACTGTTACTCAACTATGTGAAAATATTCAAGAGATTGTGACCTGTCCCCATTCTTTGGTGAAACAT